CTGCAGCGCCGTCCTTTTCCGGCCTCCGGCAGGGGCAGGGCCGCGCCGAAGACCCGCGCACCCGGCCTACCTCCCCTCCGGCGCCGCACTCCCCTAGCTGCTCCCCAATTTGTCTTTTTTAAAAGATGCCTCCCGTCCTGGCCAGTGTGGGTCCAGTGCCCCGCCCCTGTCAGGGGCGAGGTTGGGAGTCAATAGATCTGTCTCTCTCACATTGAAGTTTCCCCCTCCCTGTTCCTTCCTCTCTCTCCTTCCCTTCCACTCTTTCTAAAAATCAATGGAAAAAATACCCTCGGGTGAGGATTAACAACAACAACAAAAACAAGGCTCCCCTAAATGAATATAATTAAAAATCACTCAAGTTTCTCATGGTTGTGTGTTGTTAAATGTAATGCTACCCTACTTACCTGATTATTTACACCTGTAGCAATGTTTTCACTGGAATGTTGACTTATTCTCTATTATTTATTCAATGCCTTCTACATGTCAGGCACTATGGTTTACGTGCATTATCTATAAACCTCACAATAACACCACAGGGTATTAACCCCTTTAAATTTATTTTTATTTTATTTATTTATTAGTATGAACCCCTTTTGAAAGATGAGGGAACTGATGCTGAGCAAAAGGAAGGTTTGGGGCTTGTTCAAAGAAGCACAACTCTAGAGAATGAGCTGGGATTCCACCCCTGGTCTGCTTCCAAAGCCTATGCTCTCTGCTAGGCATGAAGGTTTGTTTTGCAGTGACTTGTTTTATTTTTATGGTGAATTATTCCCTCCATCTGGTAGAAGGCAAGTTGCTTGTCCTCGCATCTGGTGTTGTTTTAGGGGGGCAACATGATAACAATGGAAAAAGTATGGTATTTGATAAAATTGTCCATGTTTCTTGATCTACTTCTGGGAATCTGTAATAAAGAAATAACATGAAATATGGAAAAGAGTTGAATGCACAAAGCATACTGAAGCATAATAAAAATGGTTATAGTAATGGTAGGATATCAGATAGTTCCCCTCCCTTTTCTTAGTTCTCCAAAAAATTTTGTAAAATTTAAAGAGCATATGTGTTAATGCAACCAAAGTAATCTTAACAAGTTTCTCTGTCTCATTTTCCTTATCAGTAGAATGGGAAAATGCCTATTTCTTTGAATATTGTGAAAATTAAATGAGATGAAGGCTATAAAGTGCCAAATGAAATACCTGGCATGTAGAAGACATTAGATGAATATTAGAAAATAAAATAAGAATGTTTTCCTCTGGTGTAGTACAATGTTTTCTCAATTGATCTTTTTGTAGTGTTTTTATGAGGATTGTTCAGAAAATGAAATTACCTGCATATTTTGACAAGGCAGGCTTTATTGGAAAAACTTATACTTTCTCTGGCATCGCCTTGAGAACTGACACGTGAACGTGTCACATGTAAAACTCCTGCAATTCTTTAGCAAATACCTTATTGCTAAGTACCAAAGGCTCAGTAAGTGTTGCAAAACAAGTTGAGACACTCCCCAATAATAAAACATCAATGAGGGGACAGTGGTATATTTTAGCCCTGTCCAGGAAGTAGGTGAACTGAGAATGGAGAGATAGCATTTAAGGATTAAATCTGCACTCTGCTTATCGTCTCCTTCAGTCATTACCTGCCAATTATGTTTCCAGGTCTGTTCAGTCTCACTCATAAGGATCGAGTTGGAAAGTTATTGCTTAACCAGGAAATTTATTTTACTAGTGTCTAAAGACTAGTGGATGATTAGGAAAGCTAAAAATATGAAGAATTTTTAAATATACCCTGATGGTCTAAAACACAAGTACAATCAAATCAGTTTGGGGGGAAAGGGTCGTACATTTCAGAGGAATTCAGACTGGTGGTGCTTAGCTTTATTACATCTGAAATTCAGAAGAAATCTTAATAGCAGGATCATATTTTAGCTTTAAATGATAATAGATTCCTATATGATGTTTTTGCTGAGTGATATTCAGTGACAGAAGGGGAATTTATAGTTGTTAAGGCTTAATCTACTAATTTAGTTAAAATTGAGATAAATATTATGCAAGCAGATAGAATAAAATTAAACATCTCACTGCCCTTTCTTGGCCCTCTTAATCTCTGTAGTCCTAAAAATTTTTTCGTACTTGATTATTACTAACAGGATTAGATATATTAATTGACTTGATGTTAGTGGGATTGTTGTGAGGCCATACTAATTTAAATATTTCAAGAGAGCCCTGGCCGGTTTTCTCAGTGGTTAGAACCTTGGCCTTCAGACTGAAAAAGGGTCGTGGGTTCGATTCCCATCAAGGGCACATTCCTTAGTTGCAGTTCGACCGCTGGCCCTGGTCGGAGCACGTGTGGGAGGCAGCCAATCGATGTGTCTCTCACATCAATGTCTCTCTCTCTCTCTCTCTTCCCCCCTCCTCCCTTCCAGGTTCTCTAAAAATCAATGGGGGGAAAATAGCCTCCAGTGAGGATTAAAAAAAATGTTTCAAGAGAAGAGAAAGACTAAGTTACTTAACTTTGTTGGTATTATGTTTTAATTATGAATGTTATTGTTCTTTTTGTTTTATTTGAATGGTTGAAAATGTACTCCAAGTAATGTACTCCAAAAAGAGGGAAAATTGATTGTGAAAATCTTTGCTAAAAAATTTAATGTTTTCCTTTCTCAAGGTTACTTGAGCTTGTGTATTTCCCTAAATTTCTCTTTAACACTCATTATACTTCACATTATTTGTCCAAAGTCTGTGTTTTTTACTAAACTCTGGGATCCATAATGATATGGATTCCAAGGCCCAGCAAAATTCCTGGAATAGAGTATTTGGTTGATGAAGACTTAGGGAATAAATAAAGATATGAATAAATGAATGATTAGCTAATATATTATTGAGAAATTATAATTCATAGGAACTTCAAGTGCTGAGTGGAAAGAGAGACACCTATAAAGGGAATATAGAGTTCTGTTGCTGGTGGTGGATGCCACTGTCACAATAGGCAAAAACTGAGTGTGCTATGCATGTAAGTCACAGAAAAATTTGTTTGCTTCAGACCCTCAGCTCCTTCATCAATAAAAACAAAAACAAAAATGAGACCTAAAAAAGAAGTTGAGTTTAGCTAGAGAAGACCTGGTAGATGTTGGGGATGATTAGTACAGAAAGAACTTTCCAAAGAACACCAAATATAAAAGGATGGAAGCCACTAAAGAGAGGACCTAAGAGGAAGTTTGTTGATATTAAGAAAAATGGGGAAATGGTCAAGAAAAGGTCATAAAGTCACGCTGGGATCAGATCACATGAAGCCCCCCACTCTACCACCTCTTCCAATGTAGAATTGTAAGTTTCATGAAGAAAAGAGCCAGGCCTGTCTTGTTTGCTACTGTATTCCCATAGCCTAGCATAGTCCCTGGCAAATTTCAAGAGCTCCATACACATCTGTCAAGTGAGATAAATTGATTTTTTTTGTTGTTGTTAATTCTCACCCGAGGATATTTTTCTATTGATTTTTAGAGTGGAAGGGAGGGGAGAAGGAGAGAGAGAGAGAGAGAGATCTCTATGAGAGAGACACATCGATTGGTTGCCTCCCACAGGAGCCTACAACCAAGGTACGTGCCCTTTGACCGGAATCTCACTTGGGATGGGCCGACATTCTATCTGTTGAACCAAACCAGCTAGGGCGATAAATTGATTTTTAATATTATTTAAACCAAACAACAAAGCAACAATTTTCAGATTGAAATAATTAATTGATATAGGTGTATTTAGAGGCATAAACGTATCTGCCCACAAAGACTGATACTGACATTCATTTCTTGCTTTCACTTAATCTACTTCTTCCACTTGTAAATATGCTTTTTATGTTGCTATAATAACTCTTATATGGAATTAGTCTTATTTTTGGTAATATAAATATATTAAAAATCTGATACATAAATATTCCTAGAGGCTATTTAAAGTATCCCTAGATATATTTTCTTTTTTAAAAAATATATATTTTATTGATTTTCTACAGAGAGGAAGGGAGAGGGATAGAGAGTCAGAAACATCGATGAGAGAGAAGCATTGATCAGCTGCCTCCTGCACACCCCCTACTGGGGATGTGCCTGCAACCAAGGTACATGCCCTTGACCAGAATCGAACCCGGGACTCTTCAGTCCCCAAGCCGACGCTCTATCCAGTGAGCCAAACCGGCTAGGGCTAGATATATTTTCTTTATAAATTATTTAGTAAATGCTTTATTTCCAATCTCATCCAATTTCGAGATAAAAATTTTTCTCCTGAATAATCCCCCTCTACATCACAAAGCTGTTAGTGTCATTTGATATTTCCTTTCATAAAACCAACATATGTCCTCCCTCTTACTGTTAAATTTGTTCATTTTGTGTATAAATGTTTCATGCATATTTTTGAGACAATATATAGCATTATACTTATTTTCACAATGTTCTTATTTAAGGTTGTAGAAACATGTATACTATTATATAATTATTATTAATAGCCTATAGTAA